GCAAGTCGTTGTGAGTCCGTCAGAGTTTCCACTCAGAAGTGGAAGACTCCACAAGGCTTGAGAAGACTCCATCAAAGACTGAGTTCAACTCAGATCCAAGACTTCAGAAGAACTCAGAAGAACTTGAGAAGACCGAGAAGACTCCGTAGACTGAGTAGACTGAATAGTTCCAGGAAGTGTCGACTTTTAAAGAGTTCTCACTCCAGGTCACTTAATAGTTCCTGATTGGTTGAAACAACCAACAGGGGGTGGTTCTAGTGATGTCAGAGGGTTATTAAAAGTCAACAGAGTGTTCAGGAATGTTTAGGAACGTTTAGTACAGACAGAGAAATGTTGTGGCGAAGTGAGACAACGCAGATGCCAGTGTTTCTCTTTTTACCGTCTGCTAGGTTTAAAAACAATACAGCCCGTTCTAATAACTTCTTTCTGACTGTCTCCGACTTTTGACCGGCATCATTACTTCTCCTTTAGACAGAAAATCAAAATGCATAATTACTTTGTAAATAGACATTTAACTTGATTTCTACTTTGAATGAGGTTTAAAAAAATCATTAATACTGTTTCACAGTTGATTTAAAATGAGTGGTTCACTTCAACATTAGAAATGGTATGAACTAAACACACTTTTGATTATCAAGATATTGTAAAATAATAATGATAATATAAAAAGAAGAGTGTTCTTTCAATTGATTACTTCAGGATACAATTAAATAGTCTCTTGATGAGCTAATTTGTATTTCTGGATTCAAATCAATGAAATAACAGTTCCTGTCCCATGAAGGTCTTCAGAGACAGGTTTTGGTCGGAGGACGAGTTCACTACATTATTGAGTTTTGATCAATACTGGACATTGATCAAAGGAGTCTAGGTCATGACTATTTAACAGATTCAATGAAGATAAAGAGCAAAGTGAAATTAACAAGAGTCACACTTTATGCAAGTTATTCCACCTGGAGGAATAACAATTTAAAAAATAGTTGGTGGTACCTATTAGCTGCTGCTGCTAGCAGGACAGCTTGCAACAATGGCTTGTGAGCTACGATGCACCCATTGGAGCTTCAACAGAATGTGAACATCAAAGTTATTCCCACACTCAACAGGTGTCAAACACAGTTACAAAACAGGACCAAAATTAAAGTCGATAATTTAACTCAAGTGAGACACCTGACATTTTCTTTTGCTTGAAGGTTCCTCAACAACAGTTTGATCTGTTTCCTTTGACATTCTCTGTTGCTCTTTCCACATTAGAAGCAAAGATTACTGAAAAATCCACAAATTTTCTTAAAAAAAACAACAACTTCAAATTCAGTCAGCTGGCATGACAAGTCTGTACTACACGAAGGACTTACAAGATGTAAATGTTTTTAATGAGCATTGATAAAGAAATATTTTACATTTATTTAATTATCCTCTTGGGGGGCCAGATAAAATGTCAACAAGGGCCAGATTCGGCCCATGGGCCTTGGATTTGACACTTGTTCTATATGATACATGACATCAACTGGTCACTGAATCTTATGGATGCTTCGAGATGCAGCCATAATTGTTTTATAAGTGTATCCCAGCCTTCTGAATCATAATCTAATTGTGGTGTGCCCAAAGATTCAAACCCTAGCAGAGCTGTGTGCATCATCAGCAGCTCCGCAATGGCTTGTCTGTCTTCTGTAAGGAAAAACACCACTGCTTTGTGTGTGTACTGTCTTGCCCCCTGCAGACAAGATGAAGACCAGAAATACAAAAGAGAGCAGGGCTGCAGAGAAGTGAGCAGGTGTTGAACACAGAGATGAAATAAGCTGAAAAGCCACTGTGCCATGGCACATACAGAACCAAAGAAAGCAGGTCTGTGACCGTGCAGAACTCTGAACTCAGGAGCTGTAAGAGGCTGGAAAAAATCCTTGGTGTGAGGTGAAAAACATCAAAGCCTACCCCGACTGAAACGGCACCAACAAAACAAACTTTGGTTGCTTTCCTTTTGGAGCACATTGCCAATCATATTATCTGTTCTTTAATATGAGAGAACTTCCTGTTCAGTGATTCAATAAGAAATAAAGCCTTAAGAGCTCAAATAAAACAATGAGTGAAGCTGCATTTAAAAATGAATTCAGGAGCTCACCTTTGGTGTTGGCAATCTTCGAAGTCAGCTCCAGAGTCTCAATTTCTTCAGAGCCGATATTCTCTAAGGTGATGGTGAGCTGCTGGGTTTCGCCATTAAAGAGTGGGACAGACACAAAGCTGGACAGTTCTTCTTTGGACATGGGCTGAGGCGTGTGAGCTGACCTGAGTGTGTAGAAAGAGAAATACAGCTTGCAAACACCGTCCCCACCAAAACACCAAACAGCAGCACAGTTCAGTTCAACTGAATAATTACTGACAAATCTGAAGAGTATATTTGGTCAAAATGCCCATTCCTGTCACACATGTTGTTTGTGTGTCTGTGGGCTTTTGTTGTAGAAGATATTACAAATTAAAACAACCATTCATTTATAGATAAGGTAGAGCTCAGCTACTCAGAGCTCAATTCAATTGCAGTGGATACCACTCAATACGTCTCTACAAAGTTACACTAACTACATACCAGGGGAGACATTATATACCATTTGGGTACAAAATGGTTACTGTTTACCAAACATATTGTATATGTTGTTTTATGGGTAGTATTTTAGTGGCTGCATCCATTGGAGGCTAGCTGACAACACAATTACAAGACAAATCTTTGATTGCATTCTCATGAGTATCTGAATGTTTAAATTCAAAAAAGTTTAAGACAAAAACAACTGGACTTTAATAGTAACAAAAGACATTTCGCAAATATCTGAATGTTTGCAACCAAACTTATAAAAACTGTGTGGCCCATTTTGAGAGGCCAATTTTATAAAATCTTAGCCTCTTATTGTGTAAACAAATTGCAAAACGTTATTCTAGGCACATTGTACACCACATTTCACTAATAATCTCTCCACTCGTTGTGCTGGCCTCAGTCAGTGTTGGCAGCCACCCCAATTGATTAATCTATTTGATTACACACAAGACATGAAGATAAGCAGATTAGGACCCTTTTTTTTTATAAATACTTCAGCAAACTTGTTGGATCAGGACATTTGGGTTGTAGCCTCAAATGTCCATAATTATGAACATTATTGTCATAATGTGATCTCCCAGGCTGGTGTCAAAGTGAAGCTCTAGCACTCTAAACTTTATGGAAACTAAATTGAGAGGAGTTCAAGAAGAGTTTGACACACCAGCAGCAACTTTGCAACTATTCTGAGAAAATCCAGCATTCTGAACATGTTCCAAAAGCAAGCAGCAAGATGTGTCTGTATAGAACTTGACTCTCAGATGATATTTTACTCTCACTTCTTCTTTACTCTCACTGCGAGGTGCTGGCAGACATCTTTAACACCTCACTTACCCTGGAGACA